GAAGGAAGGAACGTAAGAAGGGACAAAATGAAATGTGAATGACAAAAATTAAAATAAGGTTTTAAATTATTTTAAATAATTAAACTGAATTGCTGAATGGTCCTGCAGCATGTTGGCCCTGGCGAGTTGGCTCTGGCGAGTCGTCCCATTCCGCTTTGCTCAGGACTCTTAGCTTCCTCCACGAAAAGATGTTGTATAAACCGACATAACACATAAATAAGCAGCACCGCCCGCAGGGCTTGCTGTGTCATTCCTGGATGTCTTGTTGGAGTCAACTGGATGACGGAGCTGTCCGAGGTCCTGCAGCGTCAATCGGATGACGCTACCTATAAACAACTGCTGAATTCTGTAATATCTGAATGATGGCCATGACTTGGCCTGGACTTGAAGCAGAGTTTCAAGAGATCAGAAGGCCACCACATATATTATTGTAGTCTGGAAGCAGAAAGATGACGACAGAGACTTATGAAACGGTCTTCTGCTGAGTTACCCTTTGATCTAACTTCGGCCGAGATATGTTGTAGCAACAGCAGTAGGAACAGTTGAACTATGAAGTCATAACATAGTTAAATAAACATATTTAACCAAAGATGAACCAAGGCTACAGCTGAGCAGATGAACAGAGAACGCAAATAATCATCCGAGGAGGAAGCAGGCTTGTAGTAGAGAAGAGACTGGACAACCACTTGTCTGGAAGGGTATAGGACAGGAGTAGGCAACCTTGGCTCTTTTATGACTTGTGGACTTCAATTCCCAGAATTCCTCACCCAGCATGGGGGAACTATGGCCCCTTCATGACTCGTGGACTTCAACTCCCAGAATTCCTCAGCCAGCATGGGGCAACTATGGCCCCTTCATGACTGGTGGACTTCAACTCCCAGAATTCCTGAGCCAGCATGAGGGAACTATGGCCCATTCATGACTCGTGGACTTCAACTCCCAGAATTCCTGTGGCAGCATGGGGGAACTATGGCCCCTTCATGACTCGTGGACTTCAACTCCCAGAATTCCTGAGCCAGCCATGCTGAGGAGAAAGAGAGAGGTTTCCATGCTGAGCCATGCTGGCTCGGGAATTCTGGGAGTTGAAGTCCACGAGTCATGAAGGGGCCAAAGTTCCCCCATGCTGGCTCAGGAATACTGGGAGTTGAAGTCCACGAGTCATAAAAAGAGCCAAGGTTGCCTACCCCTGGTATACGGTCTCCTGCTTGAGCAGGGGGTTGGACTAGAAGACCTCCAAGGTCCCTTCCAACTCCATTGTTCTTTTCTCTTCCAAAGTTGGCCCAGGATGTCTCTTAGACGGCTCTGCATCAGCTTGCAGTGTTGTTTGGAAAAAAAAAAACCCCACACGTTCCACTGGATTACAAAACTGATGGCAGTAATAAACACTAACTACAACATGCAATTATCAAAGTCAGGATGAGGGAAGAGCGATGTGGCCGGGGAGGGAAAGTTAGGATGGGAAACGCAGCTAATTGATTGATGCCGTACTCTGCAGAACAGCCTGGCTTGCTAGAGCAATATTTTAATAAGAGCAAAACGCAGCCAGCAACCTTGCTCCTATTAGCTCTTAACAAGATCAGGCTTGGCTGTGCAGTCGGCTACAATTACACAACCCCTGCCATCAGCCCTGCTCGGAAACTAAATCTCTTCAATATATCGACTGATTTCAGTTTCTTAAATAGGATATTGATTTATTCCGCTCTGGGGGGACGGAGCTACAGAAATGAACGTCGGCGGCTGGACGCGCCTTTTAAATTTATTCTACACGTGCCCAATTTAAAGGGGCAAAATAGCCTTACAAGCGACTGCTAATGTCAACGATATTTTAAAGCTGAGGGAGACAATTTGGGAGATAGTTGCCCCCCTTTTCTCTTCGTCCGGTGCTAGAAACTGGTTGGGAATAAGCTACAGGTAAATATGCCACTTACGGTCCTAGTTCAGCCCCCCCAATTTTTGTTGTTAAACGAGACAGTTGTGAAGTGAATTTTGACCCACTGTATGATTTTTCAGGATGCTCGTCATATAAGCCCTACCCCAAAAATAAGCCCCGGTTAAGATCGTCAACCAGATGGGACGCATTTAGTACGTCCGTTGGACTTACTGAATGATAAAATAATCATATTAATATATAATAAAATATAAAAATAATAATAATATTGACATTATTTATTTGAATAAATGTAGGTGAAGACGTAAGACATCACCTGAAAATCAGCCCTTAATAATAATAATAATAATAATAATAGTAGTAGTAGTAGTAGTAAAGTTGGAAGGGACCTTGGAGGTCATCTAGTCCAACCCCCTGCTCAGGCAGGAAACCCTATACCATTTCGGACAAATGGCTGTCCAGTCTCTTCTTCAAAACTTCCAGTGTTGGAGCATTCACTGCTTCTGGAGGCAGGTTGTTCCACTGGTTAATTGTTCTCACTGTCAGGAAGTTTCTCCTTAGTTCTAGGTTGCTTCTCTCCTTGATTAGTTTCCATCCGTTGCTTCTTGTCCTGCCTTCAGGTGCTTTGGAGAAGAGCTTGACTCCCTCTTCTTTGGGGCAGCCCCTGAGATATTGGAACATGGCTATCATGTCCCCCCTCGTCCTTCTCTTCATTAAACTAGACATACCCAATTCCAGCAACCATTCCTTATATGTTTTAGCCTCCAGTCTCCTAATCATCTTTGTTGCTCTTCTCTGTACTCTTTCTAGAGTCTCAACATCTTTTTTACATCGCGGTGACCAGAACTGGATGCCGTATTCCAAGTGTGGCCTTACTAAGGCCTTGTAAAGTGGTATTAACACTTCACGTGATCTTGATTCTATCCCTCTGTTAATGCAGCCTAGCACTGTGTTGCCCTTTTTGGCAGCTGCAGCACACAGCTGGCTCATATTTAGGTAATAAGACCCGTTCTTATTTTCGGGGAAATACGGTACATGCCATTTGCCAAGCATCCGAATTGTGATCACGTGACCCTGGGGATGCTGCAACCGTTGTGTGAAAAACGGTCATAAGTCCTTTTTCAGGGCCCCGGTAACTTCAAATGGTCACTAAATGGACTGTTGTAAGTCGGGGACTAGCTGTATGCAATCTATGGTATAAGCGGCATCCGTTTATCCAATCACGGTATATTTTTGCCACTTTTAAAATTCACAATCCTTGTCATGATCCTTATCAGGACAATTTCAGACTGAGGATGACTGAGGATTGTCTTAAGCATCCTTGAAAAGACGCACCTGACTGGCGCTCAGGCAGGGATCACACTGCATTATCCATCAACGTTCACATTTCTTCAATGGTTGCAAAACAATTACATTTAGACATCTAAAACTGTCTAAAGTACGCATCATGAGGTACAGGTTGTTTACACACTTTAGAACAAAATGCACAGAATGATGCTCATTGGGGAAAACGCCAGGCAAAAGACTACATAGGGAAGGCTGACTTTGGTTGAATTATCATTGAATGATCAAGAAATGATGCCTTACTATACTGATCTTTCTGTTAAGGAGCCCTGGTGGCACAATGGTTAGAAGGCAGCGTTGCAGGCTAACTCTGCCCACAGCCAGCAGTTCAATCCTGACCGGCTCAAGGTTGACTCAACCTTCCATCCTTCCAAGGTCGGTAAAATGAGGACCCAGCATATTTGTTGGGGGCAAATATGCTGACTCTGTAAACCGCTTAGAGAGAGGGCTGCAAAGCACTGTGAAGCGGCCTATAAGTCTAAGTCAGCGGTTCTCAACCTATGGGTCGCGACCCCATTTGGGGTCGATCAACCATTTCACGGGGGTCGCCAAGCAAGGCTGTCCGCCATTTTTTTTGTCCGCCATTTTTTTTGTCCGCCATTTTTTTCCCTTTTCCGGCGGGTGCCTTACCTCCCTTGAGCTGGGCCAGCTGGTGGTCGGCCTGCTCCGTCTCTGCCGCTTGCCAGCTACGCCTCGGCCGGCGCAGGGGGCGGAACCATGCATGTGTGGCGCTCCCGGGCAGGGAAAGTCCTCGACTTACGACCGGTTGGGTAGTCCTCAACTTATGACTGGTTTAGTCCTCGACTTACGACCGGTTGGGGGTTGCGGCATTAAAAAGGTTGAGAACCACTGGTCTAAGTGCTATTGGAATTTGGCTGGCAATGGGATGCGTAGCTATGAATAATTGGAGGTACTACCTATTAGATAGGTGAGGAGCTCTCAGGAATTGATTAAGAAACAGGAAGATAAAGTGCAACTAGTTAATTTTCGGAATTATGTAAGCTGATCTCTTTTCTCCTTTCAATAATTCAGGTTCATAAGATTCTAACAATCTAACCATCTTGGCTGTGAGCAGCTGCAAGGAGTGTGACCCTTTTGATCTTACAAGTACTTCTCGACTTTCGTCCACAACTGAGCCCAAAGTTCCTGTTGCTAGCACAGCTGTTAAGTGAGTTGTGCTCCATTTTATGACCTTTCTTGCCACAGTTGCTAAGTGAATCACTGCCATTAAGTTAGTGACATGGTTGTTAAGTGAATCCGGCTTCCCCATTGACTTTGCTTGTCAGAAGGTCGCAAAAGGGGGATCCCATGACCCCCAGGACGCAGCAACCATCGTAAATACGAGTCAGTTGCCAAGCGTCTCAATTTTGATCACGTGACCCTGGGGACGCTGCAACGGTCGTAAGTGTGAAACACAGTCCCTAAGTCACTTTTTACAGCTCCGTTGTGACTTTGAACAGTCACTAAACGAACTGTGGCAAAGTGAGGACTGCCTGTGTTCCAGAAATTCAACCAGGGAGAAATCAGAACTTCAGAAAAATGAAAAAAAAAAAAAGGCCGTGCCAAAGGAATTATGGATAAGGAGTTGTATAGGGCACAGGATACTAGCGGTTATAATAACATTGGTCCACATCTCTCCTATCTCTGGAGAAACCCAAGTCCTCATGAGGTCCTTCCAAGCTTTTTTACTTACACTCGCGAAGATATACCTGCACAAATATAACATTTTATCCCAGGGAGGGGGGGGCAAGCAAAAATAAGGCTTTACCTTGTCTCCAGGGGGATGTTACTGTTCAGTAACCAGTTGTCCTGAGCGTGCGTAGATTCTTGGTTCCCTGCCTGTGGCTCTCCGGAGAGCGAGTGGTCCGTAGGAGCAGGGCTGGGATTACTGCGTGGTGTGAAGTTCCCCCGATTTAAAGAGTTGATGGATGCTGCGTGGTGCTGGTTTGGCGTGTGGGCGTGAGAAAGAGGAGGGGGAGGCGTCCGGAGTCTGGAGGGGTTCGAAAGGCTTGGATGATCTGCGGGAGGGAAAAAAAATAAAAATAAATCGTGAAGGGCTTGAAAATGGAAAATCCCTTCACATGGGTCATCGAAAGCGGCCCTTCGTGACGGCTGGATTGGAGGACGAACGTTCCGTGGCTAAGCGAAACATCTGTTAAGTGAGTTTTGTCCCATTTTATGACATTTCTTGCCACAGTTATTAAGTGAATCACTGCAGTTGTTAAGTTGGCAAGACGACTGACTGTTCAGTGAATCCGGCTTCCCCATTCACTTTGCGTGTCAGAAAGTCACAAAAACGATATCACATCACACACACACACATACACACACACACACACACACCGGGGACACTGCAACCCTCTTAAATACACGCCAGCTGCCAAGTGCCTGAGTTTTGATCACGTTTATCATGGGGAGACTGCAACAGTTGCGAAGTGTGAAAAATGGTCCCAAGTCCCTTTTTTCAGGGCCGATGTGACTTTGAACCATCACTAAACGAACGGCTGTAAAGCGAGGACTTCCTATCAGTGCATCAAGTAAGTAATGATCGGAGTTACCGAAGGCCAACTTGAATTTCTGGGGAGCGGGAAAAGATGTTTATTGCCACATCTGATCTCTGAAACTGCTGATTTTTAAGATGATCAGGGGACTGGCGGCTAAAACATATAAGGAACGGTTGCTGGAATTGGGTATGTCTAGTTTAATGAAGAGAAGGACGAGGGGGGACATGACAGCAGTCTTCCAGTATCTCAGGGGCTGCCCCAAAGAAGAGGGAGTCAAGCTATTCTCCAGAGCAGCTGAAGACAGGACAAGAAGCAAAATAGATGGAAACTAATCAAGGAGAGAAGCAACCTGGAACTAAGGAGAAATTTCCTGACAGTGAGAACAATTAACCAGTGGAACAACCTGCCTCCAGAAGCTGTGAATGCTCCAACACTGGAAGTTTTTAAGAAGAGACTGGACAGCCATTTGTCTGAAATGGTATAGGGTCTCCTGCCTGAGCAGGGGGTTGGACTAGATGACCTCCAAGTTCCTTTCCAACATTATTCTTATTCTTATTCTCACTATCATCATCATCATCATCATCATAGACATCAGACACCAGCTTAGTTACCATCTTCTACCTCCACCCAGGAAAAGTTATTTTTCTTCCAGCGATCTGCCTCCTGCTTCTTCCTTTTTATCGCAACCCAGAATTGGAAGACAAAATTCACACAACCTTTAGGGGATATTCTTGGCTTGCCTGCCTCTTTTTGACAGGAAGATGGATCCTGCGGCAGACATGTGTGTGTGGGGGGGGGAAAAATCACTCCAGTCCCGCAGCAGGAACCCAAACAGCTCCCCTTTTACCTGTCTCGCAACCTCAATGCTTCCCTCCTTCCTTTCAAAACACATTCTGGGAAAAAAAAAAAAACCAGAGTCAGGAAAATAAGAAAGAAGTACAAAATATTTGGTACAGGCAGTCCTCAACGTACGACCACAATGGAGCCCAACGTGTGTGTTGTTATGACTTTTGTTGACTGAGTTTTGCCCAATTGTACAACCTTCCTGTTAAGTGAACCACTGCAGTTGGTAAGTTGGTAACACGGTTGTTAAGTGAATCCGGCTTCCCCCATTGACTTTGCTTGCCAGGAGGTTGCAAAAGGGGATCACGTGACCCCGGGACACTGCAACCGTCGTAAATGTGAATCAGTTGCCAAACATCCAAATTCTGATCGGGTAAATTAGCCAGCGATGGCGTTTGTGTGGGAATCAGAGGTTGGAAAACGAAGTTGGAAAAATCATCTTTATAGCTAATAAAACTTTTCCCCTCCCGCCTGCATCGCCCAATTACGTCTGAGCTTTGCGGCTGCTTGTGACACAGTTGTTGGCTTATTTAAACTTGCCACATTTTGCTGTGTTAATTTAACGCGTAAAGAAAACATGACACACAAAGCGTTCACATTGTTTGTTTTCTCTTTGCCGTACTCCTTGTGCAGCAGGCATCCTCCCACCCCTCGGTAGTCACGGGGGCTGAATTATTAGATGCAGTTTTGCCGTTAGCTAACATTACTTGCATTGCAAGTAGTCCTTTGAGTTACAGCCTTTCATTTAGTGACTGTCTGAAGTCAAAACGGCAGGGGAAAAAAGTGGCCGTTTTTTCGCACTTGGCAGCAGTCCCCACGGTCACACGATCAAAACCTGGACACTTGGCAACTTGACATGTATTTGTGACGGTTGCAGTGTCCCGAGGCCATGGGATCACCTTTTACGAACTTCTGACAAGCAAAGTCAATGGGGGAAACCAGATTCACTTAACCATGTTAGTAACCTTCCGTGTTTTCCCCTAACTGAGAAATAAGCCCTAGCGTGATTTTTCAGGATGCTCGTAATATAAGCCCCACCCCCAAAATAAGCCCCAGTTAAGATCGTCAGCTGGACAGATGCATTTAGTACCGTATTTCCCCAAATATAAGACTTAACCGGTATATAAGCCCCGATGCATCTTTTGGAGCAAAAATTAATACAAGACCTGGTCTTATTTTCCCGGGAAACACGGTAACCACGGCCGTGGTTCACTTAACATCGGTGGGAAGAAAGATCGTAACAACTGTCTCGCTTAGCAATGGAAATTTTGGAGTCAATTATCGCCGTACGTCAAGGACTGCATTGTACTGCTGACTTCTCCTCTTGTGGTGTTTATAACGCCGTCCATTCTTGAGGGACATTGCATCGCTGCTTCTCTCAGCTTCACGGAAGGTGGTGGAGGCATCTAGCCAACCTTCGTGGATCTTGAAAAACTACAGGTCCCTGCAGGAGAAGACCAACTTTTAACCTTCTGAGGTTAAAGGTTAACTTTTAACCTCCTTGCAAATCTAAATCTGCCAAATTATTTCCTTCCCAGCTAAGGCTTCCTCCAGAGGTCTCCAACCTTTTGGGCACCAAGGACTGGTTCCCTGGAGAAAGGTTTTTCCACGGACAGGTGTGTGTGCGTGGTTTTGTGGGCTGCCTGCATCCCATGGATGGGACTTTGCTTGTTTGTGCGGACCGGTTGCTGGCATGCTGCGGCCTGGTACCGGTCCACGGACCGGGGGTTGGGGACCCCTGGCTTAATCCATGTTTGAGCATCCAACTGGGAGCAAGTTTTTTTTAAAAAAAAAAAAGCTGGAGAATGAGCAGAGGAGGAATATGAAACAGGGGTTTGGGGTCAGGAGTTAAGCTGCTCCTTTGGCTGTATTTATTAGACATCCCTATCAATCACCCTCATCTCCGGAGGATTAATAACATCCGGAGGGAGCAGGTGAAGACCTTTATGGACCCAGACATTTGTTTTCCATTCTTTGGCCTGCTGCAAATTTCAATCTTGAAATCTCAAGTTGCAGGTAACAAAAAGCTTTTAAGGCAATCTAGAGATTGCCGCAGCTGTCAGGAAGAGTAACACAGCCATCAAATTATTGAAAGCAAAAGGACTAACCCTTCTGTTTGATTCCACTGTTGTGTGTCCTGAGTTGCTACAGGTAGTCCTCAACTTACAACAATTTATTTAGTGACCGTTTGAAGTTACAATGGCTCTGAAAAAATGGACTTATGATCGTTTTTTCACCTTGAACGATTGTTGCAGCCTTCCCATGGTCACGTGATTAAAAATTTGGATGCTTATTATAGTGTATGGTGGACATGTGTTAAAGCAAAGAGGTATTGGACGAAAATACACACTTGGCTAGAAAAGACGTTGGGAAAACATGTAGATTTTAAACCTGAACTTTTTTTATTAGGTATAATGCCAGAAAAGATTGATAAACAAAGTACATACTTAATTTTACATGTGATAACAGTGGCAAGAATCATATTCGCGCAACAATGGAAAAAATGAAGAAATACCACCAGAGGAAGCAATAATTAAAAAAAATACTAGAATGTGCGGAAATGGACAGACTTGCTTTGAGGTTGAAAGAAAAAGAAGAAACAGAATACTTTCAAATTTGGGACTTATTTTATCAATGGCTGGAGAAAAGGATAAAGGATTAGGAATTACATTTGTATTAGTGAATGATAAACTCAGAAAACACATTTCTTGAAAAAGTACTCTAGAAAGAGTGCAGAGAAGAGCAACAAAGATGATCAGGGGACTGAAGGCTAAAATATACAAGGAACGGTTGCTGGAATTGGGTATGTCTAGTCTAATGAAGAGAAGGACGAGGGGGGACAGGATAGCAGTCTTCCAATATCTCAGGGGCTGCCCCAAAGAAGAGGGAGTCAAGCTATTCTCCAAAGCGCCTGAAGGCAGGACAAGAAGCAACGGATGGAAACTAATCAAGGAGAGAAGCAACCTAGAACTAAGGAGAAACTTCCTGACAATTAGAACAATTAACCAGTGGAACCACCTGCCTCCAGAAGTGGTGAATGCTCCAACACTGGAAGTTTTTAAGAAGAGACTGGACAGCCATTTGTCTGAAATGGTATAGGGTTTCCTGCCTGAGCAGGGCGTTGAATTAGATGACTTCCAAGGTCCCTTCCAACTTTATTATTACTATTACTATTACTATTACTACTACTACTACTACTACTACTACTACTACTACTACTACTATTATTATTATTATTATTATTATTATTATTATTATTATTATTATTATTATTATTATTATTATTATTATTATAGTGGAGGAGAAGGGAGTCCATGGAGTTGTGAAGAGTCAGACACGACGTAGGCACTGAACAACAACAATAACAGTAGCATTAATGGCTTAAGTCTCTGGTTACTAGTTAAAAGTCTGGATATAGCAAATTCTCATGTTGCAATAAAGTCGATGCCATCTGCAACTCAGCAGGCTTGTGACCTATCCTTTGACTGGTCAGGAACCCTAAATTCTGTGAAAAGTAACCCCACATTTATAATATCAAGGTAAAGAATAGCCTTACTTTCCAGCCAAGATTCTTCCTTCTCTGTTCCTTTTACTGACAGCTCAAATTATATATTTAATTATATGAAAAATAATAATAAAAACTTTTATAAAAAATTTGGATGCTTGGCAAT